TTTCAGTCCAGTAAATTGAGTTATTGACAAGTCTTTAAATAGTTACTCCACCTTTATCCCTATTCCTTCTCCCCTCCACCCCAGGATTCTCTGTGAAAAATCAAATACGGAATTGTAATGTTAACCTTCATTCAAACACATAAACATGTAAAAAACAGAATTTCCCCCATCCCCTCTGCAGTGATATCAAAGCTTTAAAAAACAATGGAAACCACCTCATTTCTAGAAAAGAAGAAAAAAGGTTGCAGATTCTTGTTTATTACTGTGCTTCTTAAGTAGACACTAGAAAACTCAGATTTCTAGCCTCTTAGCAGGTTTAACAACATTATTTTCTCAATCGAGTTCCTCAGCTCTTTAGAGGGTATGTTTACATTCCTGTGACCTTACTTAAATCTAGAACAGATTCTTTAGTTGATGGCAACTTCTTGTGACTGGAAGTGAGGAGGCAGAAACATACCCTGACACCCTCCCTTCTACAGATACTTCTACAGATTTCCAAAGTGCCTGTATATCTCAGAACCCATAATTTGCAGAAGCATTCCCAGGAAGGTTTCATATGAATTTTAGGATTTTTTTTCTATTTTTGTGAAGAATGTCATTGGTATTTTTATAGGCATTCCATTAAATCTGTAGATTGCTTTGAGTAGTATGGCCATTTTAACAATATTAATTCTTCCAGTCCATGAACACAGGATATCTTTCCATTTATTTGTGTCCTCCTCAATTTCTTTCATCAAAGTTTTATAGTTTTTAGTGTAGAGATAACTTCCTTGTTTATTCCTAGGTATCTTTTTTTTTTAGTTACTATAAATGAAATTGTCTTCTTGATTTCTTTTCTGGATAGTTTGCTATTAGCGTATAGAAATGTCACTGATTTTTGTATGTTGACTTTGTATCCTGCAACTTTACTGAATTTGTTTGTTAATTCTAACAGTTTTTGGTGGCATCTTCAGGGTTTTCTATACATAAGATCATGTTATCTATAAACAGGGACTATTCAACTTTCTCCTTCCAATTCGGATGCCTTCTATTTCTTTCTCTTGCCTAATTGCTCTGGGTAGGACATGCAGAAGAATGAGACTAGACCCCCACCATTCACCATATACAAAAATCAACTCAAAATAAATTAAGGATTTAAATGTAAAACCTGAAACTATGAAACTGCTAGAAGAAAGCATAGAGGAAATGCTTCACAACATTAGGCTAGATAAAGATTTTTTGGATAAGACCTCAAAAGCACAGGCAACAAAAGCAAAAGTAGACAAATGGGATTACATAAAATTAAAAAGTGTTTGCACAGCAGAGGAAACTTATATTAACTGAGTGAAGAGACAACCTACAGAATGACAGAAAATATTTGGAAACCATGCATCTGACAAGTGTTACTATCCAGAACATATAAGGAACTTAACAGCAAAAAAACAAATAACCCGATTAAAATGGGCAAAAGAATTTGATAGACATTTTTCAAAAGAAGACATACAAAATGACAACAGGTATGTGAAATGATCATCAGGGACATTAAAATCAAAACCACAATGAGTTACTTACTACATCACTCCAGTTAGAATGACTATTATTAAAAAGACAAAAGAAAACAAGTGTTGTCAAGGGTGTGGACACAAGGCAACACTTACACCTTGTTGGTAGCATAGTAAACTAGTACAGCATTATGGAAAACAGTATGGAGGTTACTCCAAAAATTAAAACTAGAACTACCGTATGAACTAGCAATACCAATACTGGGGATATATCCAAAGGAAATGAAGTCCATATGTCAAAGAGATATCTGCCCTCCTGTGTTTATTGCCGTGGTGTCATCATAGCTCACTGCAACCTCAAACTCCTGGGCTCCAGTGGTCCTCTTGCCTCAGCCTCATGAGTAGCTGGGACTACAGGTGGGCACCACCACGCTGGCTAATTTTTCTATTTTTAGTAGAGACGGGGTCTCACTCTTGCTCAGGCTAGTCTCAAACTCCTGAGCTCAAGTGATCCTCCTCCCTCAGCCTCCCAGAGTGCTAGGATTACAGGTGTGAGCCACCATACCTGGCTAAGACATAATATTAGATGTAAACTTTGATTCCAGGAATGTTAAAATATGAAGGAAAAAAACCACTACCAACACAAACACACATCTTGGAATTAAGGAAATGCAGAATTTCACTCAACTGGTTTTTGGTGTTTGCTGCTGATAGGCTATGTAGGGCTAATTTTATGAAAGCAATTAAACTTTTAAAATTAATATACATGGGCAGAATTAATGAAAATTGAAAAAGGCAAATAAAAGTTTTCTTGGGCCCATAGATTAATTTTCTTTTATTCTCTTTTCAAAACAAACAAATTCTTGACAGTTGGGGAGGTACTATACATGGTTAGCATGGAGCATCTTATAGTGCCGGAAATTAAGGAAGTGCTCAAAAACAAAAAATAAAAATCATTGAAGAGGTATATCAAAGGAGCACAGAAACCAACTGAAAGAGTGCCCAGTGGCCAAAGCTGGAACAATTTGAGCAAGAAATTAAATAAAGTAGTGTTGAATTAAAATTCAAAGCATAAAATAAATATCCATGCAGCCATACTGATATAAATGATTGAATAAATTACTAAATGTGTAGAAGAGACATCTTCCATGCAGAAGAGTTTCAGATAATTTATATAGATACTCTACCCTCAAGGACTTCCTTCCAAAAAGTATATAGTACAGGGATGTGGGCCAGAGGGAGGAGCAACTTTACAGTGGAGAAACCTGGCAAACACTACTCAGCCAGGTGACAAGGCCAACATCAACAGCTTTAAATCATGTTAATAGACAGCATGTGTGCTTGATGTGATGTGATTAGAATGGCACTTGACCCGTGTGGTCCTCTTCCAGATAACCCATAACCCCAGTCTTAAAAAGACAAGAACATCAGACAAATTCCAGTTGTGGCACATTCTTCAAAATACCTGACCAGTACCCCTCAAAACTGTCATAGTCATGAAAAGCAAGGAAAGTCCAGGAAACTGTCACAGCGAGGTGGAGCCTAAGACGATGTGATGACTAAGTGTAATGTGGTGTCCTGGATCACATCCTGGAACAGAAAAAGCAGATTATGTAAAAACTAAGGAAACATGAATAAACCATGGATGTTAGTTAATGATCATGCATGCATAGTGGTTTATTAATTGTTACTTGTGTATTGTACTAAACGTGAGAAGTTAATAATAGACAATATTGGGTGTAGAATATATGTAGAAAAGCTTCTCAATTTTTCCATAAATCTGTAACTGTTCTGAAAAATAAAGTCTATTTAAATGTTTAAATGCCTAAACAGAAAAAATAAAATTCATGGACAGAAAGCCAGGTTAGGGATTTTAAAGGAAAATTATAAAGCATTTTGTTAAGACCTTTCAGAATTCCACACAGATCACAGCTTAAGCAGAACATATGTAACTGTTTAGTTGAAAAATGGAACTGGCAGCTTAACCCAGAATGTGACACTTCTAAATACATTCAAATTGAGTCATTATTATTTTTCATCTATGTAGTATTTTGTTTTTCCAAAATTCTTTGCAATTTCTGACTCCAAGATGGCAAAGTTTTACTGTTATTTTAAAGCTAATGCCATGTCTATAGTTTGGACAGCCTTGTTGACTCAACTGTCTAATCTAAATGTACAATTCAATCCGGAAACCAGCCATCAGCTGTCAGAATGTTAAAACAGTTATACGTATTTTTCAAAGCCAGAGATTCAATCATGCGGTGAGACTTCAGAGTTTCACTGTTGTCCACAGTTCTGCCTCTCAGGACTCGTCTCCTTACTTGGTGTTCTCACATGGAAAGCTTTGTCGGGGAATTATAGGGTAATATTTTCAAGTCTTGGAACTTGTCTACAGTTACCTTTCTAAAAAACAAAAAAATCCCTTTAAAAGCATTTTTTAAAAGGAATTATGCAAATGTTGCCAAACGGAAAGAACTTTGGAGTTTTTGCACTGAGTTAAATTGTACAAATTGTAGAATATTCCCCTTGGTCCAGGATATCATTTTATTCCCACCCACCACTTCCTATATCCACAAATTCTAGTATGTGTGGACCCTCCTGATAGGGGAATTATAAAAGGATAGAGGAAGGCACTGACTACTGGAACAAGCAAACTTGAAATGGCACCCTTGGATTTTTTGCTCTCTCCCAGCCTTCCCCCCATCCCAACCCTGTCCAGGACAGAGGGGGACACATCCGGTCACTCTTCCTGGTGCTCTTCCCAGGCCAGCATCAGAGGCCCCCATGGCCAGGGCTCACATGCATTCAGGAACCCACCACCTTCCTGCAGGAAGACGAGCAGCCTTTTTAGGGGAAACCAAAAGGCTGGCATATTTTGAAAGCTAGCAGGGGAAATGTCTGCCAGTTATTTAGCCCTGGGAGTCTGAGAATTCGATGGTTTTGTTTTCTGAACCAAGAATTAGGGCATACCGTCTGACAGCGTGATGGAATAGACTACATGTGAACTGAAGACAGTCCCCGGAAATTCAGGGCGAGCCGTCATGGTCACTGCAGGATCCGGAAACGTAAACCAAGACATGGGTTGTGCTGCCTTGATGGTGGTGCCCTCCACAGAGGTGCCTGGGGACATCCTGCGTGCAGCGCCATCTTTCTCAGCGGTCTGGAGGGCAGCAGTAGCAGGGGTTGACGTGATGACAGGAGAGCCCCAGGCTGCTGAACCCCAATCCTAGGATGAGCAACCATGGGGTTCAAAACTCTCCGTCTCTCCCTTCCCCCCTCTCTTTCCTTATGGAGTCACAAGTGCCCAGAGCCCAGACATTACTCCCCCTGGCTTATCTCCTCTTTACCTGTGTCCCAGGAACACCCAAAACAAGTTCAGGGACCCCTGCAGGGAGACAGCCATTTCTGTAGACACGGGGTTACCCCTGTGTGAAGCAAACAGCAAAAGATCTTATCACATGCCTCTGACCGGTTAGAGAGGAGAGGCGAGTCAAAGAAGGTGCGGTGAGGAAGTATAATGTCACATGCAACATTTACAGGAAGCTGGCTAGAAGATAGCAGGGGAACTTGAGAACTTGGTCGTTTTCTGCCGATTAAAACAACACAGGTTAGTGCTTTTCCTCCCCTTGAAAAACCTTTCATAGCCACTCGAAAACACCTGATTTTCTTTCCTTGAACTGTCTTTAACTATTTCTGTAACATGAAGAACTTGCTTTGGCTCTGAAAGGAAGAGCCAGCATATAGCTGGTAACCGCACATTGTTAGAGGAACAAACATTGAGCCATTATGGTGAAAATGAAATTCTCAGAATCTCTTGCTTCCTTGTTTAGAACTTCTGTGCCTCTAAAAAACCAAAACTTCAGATGTGTACTAGATAACTTATTTCATGGAATTCAGCTAGGCCTCTTGTCATTTTTACCTATTAGCATAAATCTAAAATGGGACGGATCGGCTTGCATTTGCAGACAGGCGGGGGGTTCAAAGGGTGTTAGAAAATACAGAAATATTATGCGTAAAAACATCCTGCAAGCCTGTATGCAACAGTTCGTTGTTTTTATGTACTTTTCATCTTGTAAAACACATCTTTTGGTTTGTATTTTATGTTAAAATAATTTCTCATGTTGTTACAAATTCTTAAGTTTTCTTTATATTTTCTGCTCTCTTTCTTCCCTTCTTTTCCCCCTTCCTTCTCTTAGTAACGTAAAATGTTAGTAAGGTAGCGGCAGAGGTAGAGGTAGGGGCAGCTTGAATATACTCTGCCTGCACCAGAGTTTAAGAAGCGCCCACAACCTGAACAGGCCATGAGGTTTGCCTGTCACTAGAGCTTTCTGTCCTCAGCCTGCTGCTTCCTGTAGAAAGGAAGATTTGAAGAGTCTACAAAAGAGCCAGAAAGATGATTGGAAATAAAATAGAGGTTGGAAATAAAAGCCCAGAAACATGTAAAGGGACTAAGATTATTCTTCCTATGGCCAATGAGAGACAGTTTAATAAAGAACTTCAAGTCATTCAAAGGCTTTTACACAATGACCTGCTACATTCCGATCTATGTATGAAAAAGGAAAATGTCTCAAATCTGAATTAGGAGAAGGAAGTTACTACATTGTTGAACTGCTGTGCTCCCGAACAGGTTAGCCAAGCTGAGCTTTTACTGGATGTCTTGGAAACATGCTAGATTGCTTCTTTGGCTGTGTTCCTATGTTAATTGAGGCAGATGAGAGGAGACCAGGATTAGGATCTTCCTGTGCCATCTCTTCATTGCAACCTGAAGTGTTCTCTAAAATGTGTCTGTACCAAAAAACAACGAAGGGTTGAGGGGTTAGTGGACTCACGTGTTGTTTATATCCCAATAATACCAAACAACCAGAACAGTGATGAAAGAGAAAAATCATTGTTGATTCCATTCTCAGATTGCCACATTTTTTTCATTTTTTTACCACCATGTTGTGCAAGAAAATGGAGAGGAAGCTGACAGAATAAGGGAAGATTCTAAGCTGGAGAGTTCAGCTCTTGGGGTTTCAGAAACCCTGTGCTAGCTCTGACAGAGGCAGCCCGCATTGTCACTGGGTTAGGGGGATGGAGGGGAGATTGGATTTATTGCTATTTGGAGCCCTTCGCACGAATGCCTGTAGGAGACATGCAAATGGGAACTGCCGTAGTAAGGTCTCTGTACATGGCACGGCCCTCCCGCACCAGGAACGGCTTGCAGCTTAGCAGTGGCGGCTGGACATCCCTTGAAGGAACTCCTCTTTCGGTTTTGTTTTGCTTTTTTAATTGGTCGTAGACCTTTGTTCTCGGGAGTTTTGTATTCTGCTAATCTTCTGCTCATTATAGAAATGGGCTTTTTATTTTGTTAAAATACTTTCCAGATGGACCTGGTGTCTTTTTTGTAAATGTATCCTTCCAAAAGCAGCTGTTTCCAGTTCTTTGGGGGGTACCTTCTCTCCCCAGCCATTTCTCAGCCCCCTTTCCAGCTTTCTATTTTCACTGTTCTCCTTTGTGTTTGAGATGCAAGAAAAGGTTTATAAAGTGTCATCATTATGCAAACACCCCTGATTCCCAGGCCTGGAAGTAGTTGGGGGGGGTGGAAGAGGAGGAGGATGAAGACTTTCAGAAGGTGGCAGATCCTGTTGGGTGGTGGAGAGCACCTGGAGCAGTAATCTTGCTTGCAATTTTTAGGCTGGAATGACTGATAAGTTGAACACTGAGTTCAGTTTGAAGGTCATAGTGAAAAGAGATGAATGGTCACCTTTAATCTGGAGAGAAAATGGGTGAATTTTATGGTGAGGAACAGTACGGGCACATTGCTGAATTCTCTAAATAGGAAGAGGAATGGGGCTGACTTCACAAATCTCTCTTCTCCCCCAGACGCTGACACATAGTAGGCATCTTCTCCCCAGAACCCCAGATAGTTCCAGAGTTGAGACTGCGAGTCAGCATCCGCAGATGCTTGGATGGCCTGGGTTTCAGAGGGATAAAATGGGGATGTATACCAAACATTCGTGCTAGTAGGGAAAAAGAAAATAAAAAATAACACTCTGATAACCTCAGCCTTTACGACTGAACTCATCCTTGGTCATCATTTTAAGTTGGCATGAGCAAATCTGGAGACCCAGCTCTCTGGATTTCTCAGAGAGAAGTTTCTGGGCATGTGTAAGGTGATATTGTTGTCACCATCGCATTGGGAAATACTAGGAACCATAGGGTTTTTTGTTTTTTTTTTTAATTGTGATAAAAGGCACATGGCATAAAATTTACCGTCTTAACCATTAAGTCTACAGTTCAGTGGTGTTAAATGTATTCACATTGTTGTACAACCAACCTCCAGAACTCTTTTCATCTTGCAAAACTGAAACTACACCCATTAAACAACAACTCCCCATTCACTTCCCCCCTAACTCCTGGCAACCACCTTTCTATTCTCTGTCTCTATGAATTTGACTTCTCTAGGTACCTCATATAAGTGGAATTATACAGTATTTGTCTTTCTGTGACTGTTTTATTTCACTTAGCATAATGTCTTTAAGGTTCATCCATGTTGTAGCATGTGTCAGAATTTCCTTCCTTTCTAAGGCCAAATAATATTTTACTGTGTGTATATAGCACACTTTTTTAATCTATTCATCCATTGATGGACGTTTGGGTTGCTTCTGCTTTTTGGGTATTGTCAATAATGCTGTTGTGAACATGGGTTTGCAAGCATCTCTTTGAGAGCTGCATTCAGTTCCTTCGGTGTATACCCAGAAGTGGTATTGCTGGCTCATATGGTAATTCTATGTTTAGCTTCTGAGAATCATCCAGTAATTGTGTCTTCTTCTACTACCCTCCCTCCCCAAACGCAGACTTGAGGATAGCTCACATTGCAGGATCATTACCATTTTCCTTCATGAAGGCTTCAAACAAAATGTTCATGTTTTGCTTCTGGGTAGTAAGGATCCAAAGGGGACTTGGGCTGTTGTCCTAGGAAAATGAGCAAGACCAGCGGAGTTATTCTGGAAGAGTGGCCATGGTAGGTGTTTAGATTATAGATTTTCTGCAAGGAAATGGTAGGAGAGATGTGACAGACAGCTTGACTCAGTGCTGTGTGGTAATTCTTTTGCTGAAGGTGCTGTCTGCTAACTAAAATATTATGAACGCAATGCATGCTCAGTAACAGTACAAGGGGAGGAGTTGTCTGTACGCCTGATGGATTTTTTTACTCTGCCATTTTAATTTCCCTCCATTTCTTCATCAATCAGAAGGTTGGTGCTGTTTAAAGGGAGAAAAAAGTCTCTAAGTGTACCCCCCCCCAAAAAAAACAAGCATAAGATGATGACAAGAACAGTTGCATTTGTTTGTTTATGAAAGGGCACAGGAAGCTTTTCCTGGAAAATAATAAACTAGGAAAACATAAGTCCTTGAAGTAGAACCCTATCATGGTGAAACAAACTGAATTTAGGAGGCACCTATTCCTAGTTTATATGACATCTTGTGCCAGCTTCAGCAGGAAGTATTCATGTGCCACTAGCATTGTAATTTCTCAGTACTAATGAGACGTTACTGCTTTGAGACTGTCTAACTAGCTAGATACTTACCAGAGTGTCTGTTTTGATCTTTTCTGGTGTGAATTAGGCTTCCTTTCTATTTGTGTTCATGCCTAGATTTTTAATGACATATTTTAAGTTAACTCATTGTATTGGTTTGTCATCCTAGTGTGACTTAAAAACAGTCTTTTGTTGTAGTAGGATACGTGTTTGTGTGTGTACACACACACACAAATATATATGTGTGTATACTATATATATAGTATGTATATTATAATGGGGGAAAATCCTTAAGGGCCTATGTCTCCTCAATTAAAAGTCATTAGATAATGCTTCGGAGCCTACAGTTATTTGGAATATGCTGCTAACTTCAGACAAGGAGCTTATACATATACTAAGAGAATCATTTGGAGGGTTTGCTAGTGAACTGCCCTTCTTTCAGTAAGTCACTGCTTTATTGAGTGGTGGTGATTTAGAGCATCTTCTTTGATTTCCAGGCCAGCAGTGGAAAGATTTGGTCTTCCTTAAAGGCTTTAGAGACATGTAGAATGATTCTGACTCCTGAAAACTGTGCGTGGGGCCAGTAGCAGGGCTGCCCAACAGCGCCCTGGCCTGCCGTGCAGAAAGCTGCACAGAGGGCGCTACTTACGGAAGAGAACTGGTGTCACAACTCCGCCTTCTCACTGCAGTGTGACTGCTTAGGAAAGTCCCAATTCTAGAGTCATTTAGCTAAATGAACATTCTTGATAAACTGCCATCAGGCCTCTCCTGTGACCTCTTTCAAAGCAAACAGTGTGTGCCTTCACTATTTCTCGTCTTCCCTCTGCTTTTCCTCTTCTTTCTGCTCCTTATTTTCGCCTCCACCATTCATTCCCATCACCTTCTGAAAACCCAGACCAGAACTTGCCTGTGTGCACAGCATGCTTCCTCCCCTGGCCCTGTCTCTAAGCTTTTTATTCCTCTTCCCCAGAGCATTTAATAACCTTCCCTGAAAAACAGGGACAAATCCAGGCTAATGAGCGTAGTTGCCAGAACAAAAATAAGAGAGGTTTTACATAGGAAAAATAATTTAGAAAATAATGTTGTT